CATTACACACGCATGTCCCCCCACGGGACACTTCAAGCATTTCCCTGTGCTGCACACGTGGCCTCACTTGCACACACACAAGTGCTCCAGGCACATCCCTGCCATGCACACGTGTGTCCCCACATGCACACGTGTGCTCCCACAGGTAAAACCACGGGCACTCCAGGCATAGCCCTGCCATGCACACGCATGCCCCACATGCACATGCATGTCACCATACACACACGTGCTCCAGGCACGTCCCTGCCATGCACACCTGTGTCCCCACCCACATATGCATTTTCTTATGCCCACGCACATGCTCCGGGGACATCCCCACCTTGCACACGCATGTCCCCACCTGCACACGTGTCCCCATGCCCACACACGTGCTCCAGGCACATCCCCACCTTGCACACGCATGTCCCCATGCCCACACATGAGCTCCGGGCATGTCCCCGCCTTGCACGCGCGTGTCCCCATGCCCACACCTGTGCTCCGGGCACATCCCCGCCTTGCACACGCGTGTCCCCCCACTCACACGCGTGTCCCCATGCCCACACCCGTGCTCCAGGCATGTCCCCGCCTTGCACACGCATGTCCCCCCACTCACACGCATGTCCCCATGCCCACACACGAGCTCCGGGCACGTCCCCGCCTTGCACACGTGTGTCCCCATGCCCACACCCGTGCTCCGGGCACATCCCCGCCTTGCACACGCGTGTCCCCCCACTCACACGCATGTCCCCATGCCCACACATGAGCTCCGGGCACATCCCCGCCTTGCACACGCGTGTCCCCCCACTCACACGCATGTCCCCATGCCCACACATGACCTCCGGGAACATCCCCGCCTCGCACACGCGTGTCCCCATGCCCACACCCGTGCTCCGGGCACATCCCCGCCTTGCACATGCATGTCCCCCCACTCACACGCATGTCCCCATGCCCACACACGAGCTCCGGGCACATCCCCGCCTTGCACACGCATGTCCCCCCACTCACACGCATGTCCCCATGCCCACACATGTGCTCTGGGCACATCCCCGCCTTGCACACGCGTGTCCCC